CTATATATATATATATATATATATATATATATATATATATATATATATATATATATATATATACATATAGTGTGTGTGTGTGTGTGTGTTTGCCTTTTACTCTTCTACTGTCAGTTACAATTAAAACTGCCTCTAAGATAGATAAGTGTCATGGTATTTAGTTATGCCATTCATAGTAAAAAGTTTGGGTGGCCAACTACATTTTAGTGTATAAAGTGGGTTACAAAAATTTAGCAAACCCATGCGAAAACACCACACGTATTGACGTTGAGCAGGCACGCACTTTCCCAGAGTGCTGTCTCTACACTACGGTACATGCTTGCCCCGGCACTCGTAATGTTGGAATGTCTGTGTTGCTATTACACACGTCCGTTCCATTGCGATCCTGCCATGTAACACTCGAGTCTGGCCCTGTTTCTGCCCGCTAGCGTGTGTGCGTGGCGGGAATGGGGACCATGAATGAAATTACACGTCGTTCCCTTTAATACCGCTAAATACTGCTGCACAGGACTCCGGTTCCGGTTCCGATTCCAGTTCCTGATTCCGGTTGGTAATGATTCGCGAATGACAGGCTTTCACTTGCTTACCATATCTACACATGCTAGCTATAATGTTCATGTTAACCCTTGTACTCACGTTCACACTGACTGACACCATTTTCCCCCCTCTTCGCACAGTGGCTGGTGGCCGAAGTAGGCTGCACATGATTGACCTGGGCAGCTGTGAGAAGCAGAGCAAGCTAAACCGAGAGGATGGGAAATGCCTGTCATTGTCTGCCCTCGGAAATGTCATCAATGCGTTGGTCAACGGTATCAAACACGTGCCTTATAGGTAAGACCCTGCCGAATATGTGGCATTACCATTGTTATACCTGAAGGGAATTCGTTCCATGACGCGTCTGCATTATCAACACTGGAAACAGCTAGGGCAATAGTAAAGATTCTATAATAAAGTACGGTGTCTGATTCACATCGTACGTGTTTTCCCTGCGCGGATTTAAAACTCGATCATTCCAAGCCTAAACAATTTTTTCTCCTGTTAGCGGTGATGCTGCTTTAATACACGTTATTGTATTAGAAATAGGAATCCTAATGTATGCAGTCTGTATAGGAGACCTTACAGGTACGATAATCATGACAAAGGGCTCGGCCATGCCATGCAGATGCAACCATGCATTGTATATAGTGGTAATGACAATGGCGGTCATATTCTTAATTTGGCTAAATGCTACATGGTCACTTTGTGATTGAAGCATCCTGCTGTTCGTGTGTCCATACTAAAGCGAACATCGGAAGAGCTTTTATGGCGAGTCTCGGCTGTGACTCACATGCCCTAGGTAAACATGCCGCAATTATTTGGCAAATATAAAATTAATTTTCTGAATTATGCCCTAATAAAATACATTCTATAATTCAAAAAATTGATTAGAAACAGGGGAGATGGCAGGACGTTAATAACATATAAATAGAAGCGTTACAGTTTACTTTCGTTGAAAAGGGCCGAGAAACTGATTCGGTTAGGGCTCATATCATGAAAATGCTTAGGGCTCTTACATTTTTTTATTGACCAAAGAATTAACGTAGCCCAAGCCGTCAGTTGTAAATATTATCCATCATTTTATAAAGGCGTATTTTAATTTGAGTTTAATATTCATTCGTGCGTGCGTGCGTGCGTTCGAGCGCGCGCGTGTATTTTCATCATGAGTCACGTTACGTGCAGTAATGATTGTACATTGTGCAATTTAATTAATGTTATCTGTATCAATAGCCTGTTGTTGATGTTGCTAAACACCATTCGGCTGGCAACCGGGATGGAAATATTTATTGTGAATCAGATTAATCGTCAGTGGTGCATACACACCCAATAGGGTATATTTTCCACTGTTTCACTTATTCAATGTGGAAATTCAAAGAGCAGCGACAAATAGTTCGTCGTGCAGCATCACGCAGGAGTTGGCATATATGCATTATACCACGTGAAGTGGCTCAGCTCGTGGTAAATAGTCCAGACGACGGCTATACATAATCGCTAACGATTGCTTGAAAAAAGCTTAATTACAAGTGCGATTGAGTCCGCGCTGCCTTTCACTCGTCATGGCGGCAGCGTGACATTCATCCGCGGCCTCGGCGACGATCGCAAGCTTCAGACTTCAATCCCCGCAATTAGCATCCCCGCGTATTTATCACCAAAGGCACCGCCGCGCTACGAGTGCCATCTCCGACACCACGCGGCTGCAGAGACGCGAGAATTGCCGGCTTAATGGCGTGAATGCGGGAAATTTTTAAATGGGCGCCCCCGCACAACGTCGCATCATTTGATGCATTATGGCCCCATTCAAGCCGAAAGAGTCATTAGCTAGTCAGCTGCGTTTGACATTGATACGCCCTTCAAGTGTGGCGATGTTTTACTAAATATAGTGAGTTTTTATAGGCAGTAGCGTTTGTTTTAGGTAGGCGTCACAATTGCAGGTTATTGCAGCAGCTTTAACTTCGCTAGCTAGTATGTTGCGTTCTAGATACACCGTATACAAATTCTGTGTTAGATAAAGCACAATCAGTGTATTGACATATAAAATTTGCTGAGATTTTAACATTTCTGGGTGTTGGATATATCATAAAATAGTAGAAATATATTTGCGGCGATACAAATTAATTTTTTGTAATAGTTTATAATGTATTTATAGTCTAATATGTTACCGTGGATTATATCTTGCATATTGGCCGGCATATTGAAATGGCCCAATAATAATCTGTATACAAGAAATAAAAATATGAAAGGTCTCGTCCAGATCTTATTCACTGCTTCATCGTATATGCTGCATGGAATTGTGGAGGGTCTGGTTAAACACAACCTACCAGTCTTTCCTGTTGTTACTTTATCTGAAAGTATACCCACTTACACAGCATGCAGATGACATGATGTCATGTTTTTAATAATGATAACTTAATTTTCAACAGTTACCAGAACAATTTCTGCCTGGTACGATAGACACCTACTGTTTACAAACGTCATTCGCGACATTGCACGCAATCCAGATCATCATGTCACCATCATAATATTATTATTAATAATAATAATGATGATGATGATGATTGATGATGATGATCATAACAACAACAACAATAATAATGATAACTAGAGCACTCGGAGAGCACAGACCTCCGCCAAGGCAGCTCAATTCTCTCACTGTGAAAATTTTTATTAATTAATTGGATCCGGATGACGACCAAAATGTAATCAATTCTAAGTTACCCGATTTCTGACGTATCCTGAAAATGTTATTAATTAATTGGATCCGGATCACCACCAAAATGTAATCAATTCTAAGTTACCCGATTTCTGACGTATCCTGAAAATGTTATTAATTAATTGGATCCGGATCACCACCAATATGTAATCAATTATAAGTTACCCCATTTCTGACCTATCCTAAAAATGTTATTAATTAATTAATTAATTGGATCCGGATCACCACCAAAATCTAATCAGTTTTAAGAGTGCCCATTTCTGACCTATCCTGAAAATTTTATGACAATCCGTCCATAACTTTTTCAGTTAGGCTGTACACAAAGAAACCCACAAACCAACAAACGCACGCCGATGAAAAATAACCTCCTGCCAACCCCTTGGCGGAGGTAATAATTATAACAATAGTAGCGTCGTCTAAACACGCCTGAATTCACGCCTTCTTGCATCATCGTTGCAGAGACAGCAAGCTGTCGCAGCTTCTACGAGAGGCGCTGGGAAGCGTGTCCTGCCGCACGGTCATGATCGCTCACGTCTCTGCGAGCGTGCACAACTACAGCGAGTCGCTTGCCATCATCCAGCTAGCCGCTCGTATCCACCGCATGCGCCGCAAGCGACAGCAGACGAAGGTACGTAAGCGCACGTGGCGACCCCCTGCGACGGGTGGGGTGGCGGTGGGGTGTGTGAGTGGGACGGTGTTTCTCGTCTTCGTCTCTGAAACGCCTCGGCGATCGCATGCGACGGGTGGGGGAGGGGGTCTCGTTTTCGTCTCTGAAACGCGTCAGATTTTTTGAGAATTATTCATTCGTCTGCATCGTTGAATGTCGTTGTTGTTGTTGCAATTGTTGTTAGCATTGTCGCCGATGTTGTTTTATTGTTATCAATATTGTTGTCATTTCAGTGCTCTTGTTGTAGTCGTGGCCGGTATTGTTGTTATTGTTGTAGTTAATGTTGTTGTTGTTGTTGTTGTTGTTGTTGTTGTTGTCGTTGTTGTTATTGTTGCTATTGTTGTTGTTGTTTTTATAGTCCTCGTGGTCAATGTCAATGTTGTTCGTTGGATGATCATTCATTCATTCGTTTGTTCATGTTCATGTTTGTGTTGCACGTTAGCAATTAGTTGGGAGAAAACATTTTGGGTTCTCCCTGAAATGATTTCAGAATAATAACGCAAAAGAAGTTGTTAAAAGTTTGCAGATATGATATTTGCATATTGCATCTATGATTTTTATTCTGACGCGTTTCAGTGCTCTGGCCGCAGTTCGAGCGACGGCAGCTCGTGCGAGGAGGGCCGACTGAAGAGCGTGCGCCCTCTAGCGACGCTCAACACGCTTCGGCAGGGCGTCATCTCGAGCGACCCGGACGTGTCGAGCAGCGAGCAGTCATGTGATACCGTCATCTACGTCGGCCCCGGCGGCGTCGCGCTCAGCGACCGAGAGCTGACTGACAATGAGGGTCCGCCCTCGATAGTGCCAATCCCTCCGAAACTGTTTCCGCCGCCGCCGTCGACGCTGCCGAAGCCGGCCGAGTCGCGCGTCATGGCGACGCGCGCCGCCGACGCGAAGCAGTTCGGTCCGCAGAGCGGCCGGCCCGTCATGAAGCCGCAGCTGACGAGACCCGAGCGACCGCTGGCGCCCTCTGCGTCGTCGCAGCTGCCGTGCCGACCGTCGATCCCGCGTGCGTCGCCGGCGGCGGCCGCGGCGAGCAAGCCGGACGTATTCGCGCGCGCCGGCGCGTGGAGCAAAGTGCCTTTCCGAGAGAGCAGGGCTGCTGCTGTGCGCGAGCAGTGGGTGGACGGTCCGCGCGAGCAGTGGGTAGACGGACCGGGCGACGCGCAGCAGTCCGCGTGGCCGGAGATGTCCGGCGAGGGAGCGTCGCAGGGCGTCGCCGGCGAGCGGTGGATCGACGGACCCGCGGCCATCGCTCCCGCTCCCGCCGCCGCCGCGGTGCAGCAGAAGGAGCAGTGGATCGACGGGCCGGCGCTGGAGCAGGAGCTCGAGCACACAAAGGCCGGCCGCACCGAGCAGTGGGTGTCCATGCACACGGGCTCCTCCCCGCGCCACACCGCCAGCAAGCCCGAGCAGCAGCAGCCTCCGCCGCCCCCTCCCCCCGCCGCCGCCGCCGCCGCCGCCGCCGCGGAGGAGGTGTGCATCACCGAGCACCCGATGCTGCAGAAGGACGCCGAGGAGGTGTGGCTGGACGCGGCGCCGCACAACCGCGCGCCCGACGCGCCGCGACGCGCCTACGCGGCCAGCCTGTCCGTCTCGGACACGCTCACCGACTCGGCGGCGTCGGCGTCTGCGCGGGGCGAGGACGCCGACTCGTCGGACCCGCTCAGCGCGCTAAGCGCCGAGAACGTGAAGCTCGACACGATGAACGAGGGCTCGAGCGTCGACGCGAGCGAATACGGCGGCGGCGGCGCCGATGCTTACATCGACGACGAGGACGACGATGCGAGGTCGGAGTGCGGCGACCGGCTCGGCCGCATGAAGCTGGACGTCGCCAGCGACAGCCATTCCATCATCAGCTTCGGCTCCGAGCAGAAGGACCGGCTGATCGACGAGCGACTCGCCGGCTATGAGGGCATGGCGCAGATCGGCTCCAGCGTTGGCTCCCTGGCGATCCGCAGCGGCACGCAGTCCGGCTCCGAGCGCTCGCGGTCGGAGTCCCCGCGGCCGCGGCGCCTCAAGGAGAAGGCGGGGGGAAGCTTTGACTTCGACCGCGAGCTGCAGGAGATCGAGAAGGTGCTCGCGACGGTGACGCTCGAGAAGCAGGAGCGGCACATCGTCAAGGCCGTCAACGGCTTCACGCGCGACTCGAGCGGCGGCCGCCAGAGGTCGCCGCCGCTGAGCTCGCGCGCCGGCTCCGAGGAGAAGCCGACGCAGATCGTGTCGCCGATTCTCTCCGACAAGAGTGACCACGACGACGAGCCGGAGAAGAGCCTCGACGAGCTGGACAACGATGAGGACATCTGGAAGAAGGTGGACGAGGTGCTGTCGAGCTGCGAGGAGGAGGCAGACACGATGAGAGCCGAGGCGTGGCGACTTACCTTCGACGCGAGCGAGCGCGAGAGCGGCAGCGGCGGCAGCACGAGAGCGGGATGCAGCAAGCTGCCGGAGAGCAACAACAACACAGTCGTCAGCAGCAAGGGCGCGTCCGATCTGTCCTTGAAACTGACCGCGGCCAAACCCGAGCAGGATGGTGTTAAGATGTCGCCCGTGAGGCCGTCAGCGCTGCGGCATCCGGACGGGGCGAGCAACCCCAACTTGGCGAAACATCCGTCGATGAATGAAATCTACGGAATTCTGGACGCGGAGACGGAGAAAGAGCTCAGGTCGACGTTGAATACAATCCTTCCTGATCAGAACAAACCAAAAGTGCTGCCTTCGTACACGAAAACTGTTGTGGCGCATGCGTCCGTATCATACAACCACAGTGTGAGCGGCTCGCCTAAGCGGGACGTCGATAAACTACCGATGAACGGCAGCCTTAAGTCGACATTAGATAGCATGCAGGAAGCAAAGAAACCGCAGGTGCCAGACAAACCAGCCACAGCACCCAAACCCACTGTCTTGCCAAAACCTTCTGTGCCTGAGAAGTCTAGTCCAAAAACCTCACCAAAGCCACCTAGGTCCAGCATCCCGAAACCAAGTACTTTGCCAAAGGCCCTGGATAAAGCCGAGAACTGCTCCCGGCAGAACACTCTCGAAAAGAAGCCTTCCACTCTCGAGAGACTGCGCACGACGGGGAGAAGCAAGTCGGAAACGAGAGCCAAGTCGTCGGACGCGTCCCCGCTAAAAATCTCCACGCCTTCTTCCAACAGCACCTCGTTCTTCGGACTGAAGTCTAGTGCCAAACAGACCAGTAAATCCAAGCTACCTCAAACTTCGAAATCTTCCAGCAGCAAGCCCGAGAAGCAGCAGAAGAGCGAGAAGTCGAAGCCCGACAAGCCGGAGAAGGCGGAGAAGAAGCCGGAGAAGGCGGAGAAGTCTCGCTTCTCGCTAAGCAGAAAGGACTCGAAGAACAAACCGAAAGCGAGCAATAACCGCGTCGCTGAGCTGAACGGCAGCAGAGGCAGCGTCGCCGCCGCGCACGCCACCGACTACAACAGCGGCAACGACAGCGGCGTCGTCGTCGTCGTCGACAAGCCACCGAGTCTACTGTCGCCCTACTCGACGGTGACGAAGCCACGCAGCACGAGTCACTCGAGCAGCGGCCACGGCAGCGACAACAGCAGCGTGCTGAGCGGCGACGCGGCCGCCAACTCGCCGAAGCATTCGGCGATGAAGCTGCGCTTGGCGAAGCTGCAGGCAGGGGGCGCTAGCAGCGGCTACGAGAGCATGCTGAGAGACAGCGAGGGCAGTGGATCGTCGACGTCAGCTCACGAATCTGCGAACGAGAGCTCCGGCGTTCGCTCGAGGGGAGTGAGGCTGTTTAAGAAAAAGCTGCAAGGTGAGTTCAGTTAACACAACTCGCACGCGCGTGTGTGTGTGTGTGTGTGTGTGCGTGCGTGCGTGCGTGCGTGTGTGTGTGTCAGATTTGTATGTCCATATCACGCAGCCACAGTACAGGTGCATGTCAGCCACAGATATAAACGTTTTTCTGTTGATAATTGTCATTTCTGTGGCTTTGGAAATTTCGGGTAAAGTTTATAAAAACAATCAGACTCTGGTAGGCACAACTGATCTTTCTCATTAGGCGGAATACCGACCGAAAGCTCATTTAGTGTGCGTTTCTTCAACTAATGTTGAAACGAAAATATCTGTAGCAAATCCAAGACTGGCCACGATGAGTTATGATTGTTTATGATTCATGAGTTATTATGATGGATCATTATATGCTAATATTAATATACTAATTCTATGTGTAGGAACCAAGCGCAGTCACAGTGCTCCGTCTAGACCGATACTGGAGACGACTATTGGTTCTATCTGCTATTCGGACGTGAGCAAGCCCAGTACTGCGTCAGTGCGATGGCTGGACACCAGACTACTGCAGAAAAGCCACGACGAACCGCTGGAGCTGAAGGTTTATGAGATGGACTACATGGAAAGGCTACAGCGACGTCGCAAGGAAGATGCGGAGGTAGATATATAGCTGTGATCTCTCGACATCATTGAAATATAAAATATCGTATTTCCAATTGCATATGCAATTACAATAGCAGACAGCAGAGGGGATGGTCTTAATTCGTCGCTTGTCATTTTGAAACACTACAATAATATATAAGTAGTAAATAGTAGTAATAGTAGTAGTAGCAGTAGCAGCAGCTGCAGCGGCGGCGGCAGCGGTGGCGGCGGCAGTAACTGTGTATTACAATTATTGTTTACGTATGATATAATGACATATTGTATCCATTTCTTTCTGCCTTTTTATTGTTTCATTAAATATACTAACTATAAGCTTCATTTGATGGTAACAGCGCCGTGAACAAGAGATGAAGAGGCAGACGATAGCAAAACTGAAAGCGAAGCAAGAAGCCCTGAAAAAAGAGCTGGCAGATGCCAAGGGACACCTGATGATTAATCCCTCCAGGTGGAGCTATGAATGTAAATATTTTACGTGCACCATTATATTATAATTCACGCATGTGCTTTGTCGATGATGTAATATGGTAATGCTAACAATGTCAAAGTGAAGTAAGATACATTTCTATTCGAATTGTATATACAAGTCTATACAGTTATCTTGGGAAATGTTATAAAAAATTAATTGTTAATCATCTAAATCGGTTGTAATTAACCATGCTCAGTGTCTCAATAGACATTAATGGACATGATTAGGAAATATCAAACTGCTGCAGTTTCTAGTATGGTTTTGAAAAAGAACTTGTGAGGAAAAATGTGCACTCACTGCCTATGCGTAATTAGCAACCTCACACGTAATTGTCTACCCGATCGTCGATTTGCTTTAATAATCTGCTGTATTGTGACTGTAAATATATAGAAGGTCAGGCGTTATTCTGTAGTAATAACATCATGCAGAGCACATTCCGAGTTGTCGTCGAGATTTTGCACGAAAAAATCAGCCGCATCTTTGGAAATAACAAGCCTTCGTCGTGAACTCATTGTTGTTCTGATATTGTTGCAGTGCACGTCGAGGAAAGCATGGCTCCCACGAACCCGTCATTCATCGAGGTGCTGGAGAAAGAAACGCACATTCTTGAGAAGCGAGTGGCGGCCTGCAAATCCCACATCATGATTGTCACGTGTTTCGACGTCACGTTATAGGAGGCTCTCACCTGTATCGTTGCGGCGGTTGCTGGAACCTTTGTGGCATAATACACACAGCGGTCGTTGATCTACTCATGTTTGACGCCATCGCAAGTCTTTGTCAATGTCACCATGTTTGTTCTGGTCTTCTGGAGACTACGTATTTTCTTGCTGGTTGTTGGGACGATGCGACTTTATTCTCTATCATGAGCTTATCGGTTACTCACTACTATTAAGGAGCTGTGGACAGGCCATTGATATATCAGTCAGAGAGTGGATGCATTGCCATCTAAAGTAGTGGGATTGAATAAGATCATATAGGAGATGCGAGCAGGTGGATGGATATCAATGCTCCTGATCAGTACCCCGGCTGTTTGTTGTCTTCAGTGCACTTGCATGTGATCTTCTCACTGATTCTACAGTGGTAAACTCGTGAATCAGTGTCAGGTTACATTATGTGAGCATGCAGGGATGTTTCTGTATCTAAAACAAACGTGTCACAGCTCAACACGTCCATGTCAGATACGTCTTCCGCCGGATCCCCCCCGCAATCAGCACAAACAGAACTGTCGGTAGGAAAAGCAATTTTACATTCTCTGTTTAGCCAGGAAGCTATGGGTGTGTGTCGTCAAATAACAGGTTTGCTACCTATATTCGTGTGTTGAGCCTGGTCCGTGGTTCAGTGTAGCGATTGTATAAAAAAATCCACGGAACAGCCAGCTGAAAAGCTGTTTTTTATAATCTTGGCCAGATGGCAGCTGTGTACAGTTTAGTTTCAAGTAGCAGGGTCCGAATACCGAGTAGCGGTGCTCTCAGGTACATATAACACCTACGTTTATAGTGACAGATTATGTACAAAAATGTAATATTTGCAAACTATCCGGGTATATAGCTGCTATGCAAAGCGTCCATTCGTAATATGGGCATGTAGATCTTATACAACTGAGTTCTCGCTTGGACACTATTATAGTTATATGTTTAGCCATTAGTTTACCGACGCTATGAAGTATTATTATGTTTTAGGGAGAGCCTGTGCGTCATATGAATGCGACTGTGAGTACCATGCGCGCGCATATCACCAATATACATATTGCCTCCAGCAAGCCTGGCAGAATATGAATAGGTGGTCGAATCACCCACTTTCATTCCAGCTAGGCAACTGCATGACTGACCAATGCTAAATACCACATCCTCTTCTAAAATGAGCCGAGGGCAAGATACATATGACCATTGTAAATAGAGTTACGTCTTCATATGATGGTTCGTGGTGCGTACACGGGGATCGCTGGGTATGTTGTGGTGGGAGACAGGCTAGTCTGTTGTCTTATTTACCAATGATGATTAAACATGAATTTAATGTAACGCATAGTATCTCCTGATCGTTTTCCTAATTTAATAATGGCAAAGTAATAATAATATATAGTTGTATAGAATTAATGTATTCTTTCATATTTATGCATTTGTCTACGAACAGCAAATTTTATACACCAAGGTTGATGGTGTTCTGGTAGCAGGCCATTTTATAAGATGTAACTGTAGAAGTTCTCAGATCACCTATGTTATAGGTCCTGTTTGTTTATGACTCATCTAAAATAAACATTTTCCAATCAGAAACAAGTGCAAGTGTTGTTTTTTCAGTTTCTCGCCATGTTTGTCAGTTTATCGCCAGTTTTTCAGTTTAGCCATGAAAATAACAAACCTTACAACCAAACAAGGGAATTTTCAGTAACGCATTAACCAAGGGGATTGTACATAATGATGACTATCCCCCTAAAGCCAGGATGGATGCAGGAATTCTATTATCCGCGATACCATCCACGAGAGGGGAGTAAGTAAGTAAGGAAGAGAACGAAGCGGAGGGGGGCGAAGGAAATAGAGCGAGAGAGGGCGGACAGGGAAAAGAAGAGGGAAGGGGAAGAAAGAGAAATGCATATATATACATATATATATATATATACATATATATTATATATATATTATATATATATATAGCGCTCGAGGAAGACAGAAAGCTTGCGAGAGCGAGAGAGAGGAAGTGAGAGTCACAGAGAGGGAGAGAGTGATCGAGAAGGTGAGAAAAGGAAGAGAGGAAAAGAAAGAAGGAGAGGAATTCCGCGGCCGTAATGTAATATGTCTGTCTGTCTTTATTTATTATCTCTTTAATCTGCCAGTATGTTCAACATAGCTATTGTAGTGCATATAAGCTAGGGTCCGCACATATGACCTGCCACCTAGTGTCAGAGATAATTATACAGCGCGCATTTATAAATGAATCACTAGGACTTTCGTCACGCGGTGACGGGCTTCTCTCTCGCGAGATATATCACGGTCAGTATAGACGTGGCACGAAGCGTCCCGCCATGTTCTCTGTGCGTTTTGGTCGTCAAAGATTCAAGCCGTGACAACTTCGAATGCGCATATTTATTATAACTAACGTAAGTTAATATTGTGTGTGCGTTAGATGTTAGGTCCTAGCTTACGTTTATAATTTACATGAATTTTTGCTCAGCCGTAGCATCTGTCTTTGCTATGATTTATATATCATTTTTATCATTCAGTCGTTTAATTGAGTTGTTTACGAAATGCTTATGAAAACCCGGGGCCCGTTGTCAGACACAAAATTGGTCTTAACATTAGTCTTAACATTAAGTTTTTCTCTTAGACCATTGACAGAAACGCTGCGAAGTTACCTGAATGAAAAATCATAGCAGATTTTCTCATAACAATACGAACAAAGTTCTGTCGACGGCTACGAGAAAAGTTTAGTGTTAAGACTAATGTTAAGACTAATTTTGTTTCTGACAACGGGCTCCCGCGTTACGAAAAATGAACTTGGAATAACTTAAGTGTTTATAATTAGAAGATACGAACATTTGTCATC